CGAAAGTGTTCCACGCTGTGCTCAGTTCCAATCTGATCACTATTATCTATTGCATCATGATATGTCGGGTGTGTTTTATTGCATTGGAGAACATTTTGGCTGCTTTCCATGAAGGGTTCATTTCCAGTATTATGACCGATATCTGTAACTTCATGAAGAGCTAGGCACGGTTTGTCGTTTTAGAAAATACTTTAGCTACAGACAACGTCCAGACGTTTTACATACAGGGTTCAGTTGCAGTCCTATGACGAATATCTGTCTTATCATGAAAGTTTCAAGTACAGTTAGTTGCATTAGAGCATATTTTGACTACAAAAAATGACCAGAGGCATTCTACGTAGTGCTTGATTCCATTCTTATGACCAGTATCTGTTGTATCATTAAAAGCCAGATGCGGTTTCTTGCATTAGAGGATACTTTCGATACGCTTATCACTCAAAAGCCCTCCGCACAAGGCACAATTACTGCCTCATGACCTAAATCTGTCACATCATGAAGAGTAAAGTGTGGGTTGTTTTATTGGAGAACATTTCAGCTCCAGACAACGTTGAAAAGCCTTCTACTCAGGGTTCAGTTCCAATAATATGACCAATATCTGTGACTTCATAAGCAGTTGGGTGTCGTTTGTCGTTTTAGAGAATACTTTGACTAGAGACAACGTCCAGAAGTCTTCCATACAAGGTTCATTTGCAATATTATGACCAATATCTGTCACATCATGAAGTGTCAGGCACAGTTAGTTGCATTAGGGCACATTTCGACTATGGAAAATGCCCGAAGGCATTCTAAGCTGTATTTGGATCGTATGTTATGACCAATATCTGTTGTGTCAATGAGAACCAGGTGTGCTTGTTGCATTAGACAACGCAAGACACCTGTCTTGCATTAAGATACCTTAATGCAAAACAACGTCCAGAAGTCTTGCATTAAGGTATCAGTTCTAATATTATGACCGATATCTGTGAAATTATGAACAGTTGGGTGTCGTTTGTCATTTTAGAGAATACTTTGGCTAACAAGACGTCAAGAAGTCTTGCATTAAGGTTTCAGTTCTAATATTAGGACCGATATCTGTGACTTCATTAACAGTAGGCTGTCGTCTGTCGTTCTAGAGAATTCTTTGACTAAAGACAACGTTCAGAAGTCTTGCATTTATTTTTCAGTTATAATATTATGACCGATATCTGTGACTTCATGAACAATTGGGTTTCATCTGTCATTTTAGAGAATACTTTGACTAAAGACAACGTCCAGAAGTCTTGCATTAAGGTTTCTGTTCTAGTATGACCGATATCTGTGACTTTATGAACAGTTGGGTGTCGTCTGTTGTTTTATAGAATACTTTGACTAAAGACAACATCCAGAAGTCTTGCATTTAGGTTTCATTCCTAATATTATGACCGATATCTGTTACTTCATGAACAGTTTGGCGTCGTTTGTCGTTTTAGAGAATACTTTGACTAAAGACAACATCCAGAAGTCTTGCATTGAGGTTTCATTCCTAATATTATGACCGATATCTGTTACTTCATGAACAGTTTGGCGTCGTTTGTCGTTTTAGAGAAAACTTTGACTAAAGACAACGTCCAGAAGTCTTGCATTAACGTTTCAGTTCTAATATTACGACCGATATCTGTGACTTCATGAACAGTTGGGTGTCGTCCGTCCTTTTAGAGAATACATTGAGTAAAGACAACATCCAGAAGTCTTGCATTAAGGTTTCATTTCTAATATTATGACCGATATCTGTTACTTCATGAACAGTTAGGCGTCGTTTGTCGTTTTAGAGAATACTTTGACTAAAAACAACGTCCAGAAGTCTTGCATTAAAGTTTCAGTTCTAATGTTATGACCGATATCTGTGACTTCATGAACAGTTGGGTGTCGTCTGTCGTTTTAGAGAATACATTGAGTAAAGACAACATCCAGAAGTCTTGCATTAAGGTTTCAGGTCTAATAATATTACCGATATCTGTGACTTCATGAACAGTTGTGTGTCGTCTGTCGTTTTAGAGAATACTTTGAGTAAAGACAACATCCAGTAAGGTTTCAGTTCTAATATTATGACTGATATCTGTGACTTCATGAACGGTTGGGTGTCGTTTGTCCTTTTAAAGAATACTTTGCCTAAAGACAACGTCCAGAAGTCTTGCATTAAGGTTTCAGTTCTAATATTATGACTGATATCTGTGACTTCATGAACGGTTGGGTGTCGTTTGTCGTTTTAAAGAATACTTTGCCTAAAGACAACGTCCAGAAGTCTTGCATTAAGGTATTAGTTCTAATATTATGACCGATATCTGTGACTTCATGAACAGTTGGGTGTCGTTTGTCATTTTAGAGAATACTTTGACTAAAGAAAACGTCCAGAAGTCATGCATTAAGGTTTCAGTTCTAATATTATGACCGATATCTGTGACTTCATGAGCAGTTGGGTGTCGTCTGTCGTTTTAGAGAATACTATGAGTAAGGACAACGTCCAGAAGTCTTGCATTAAGGTTTCAGTTCTAATATTATGACCGATATCTGTGACTTCATGAGCAGTTGGGTGTCGTCTGTCGTTTTAGAGAATACTATGAGTAAGGAAAACGTCCAGAAGTCTTGCATTAAGGTTTCAGTTCTAATATTATGACCAATATCCGTGACTTCATGAGCAGTTGGGAGTCGTCTGTCGTTTTAGAGAATACTTTGAGTAAGGACAACGTTTAGAACTCTTGCATTAAGGTTTCAGTTCTAATATTATGACCGATATCTGTGACTTCATCAACAGTTGGGTTTCATTTGTCGTTTTGGAGAATACTTTGACTAAAGACAACGTCCAGAAGCCTTCCATACAAGGTTCGTTTGATATATTTTGACCAATATCTGTCACTTGATAAAGTGTCAGGCACAGTTAGTTGCATTAGGGCACATTTCGACTATGGAAAAATGCCCGAAAGCAGTATTTGAATCCTATGTTACAGCCAATATGTGTTGTATCAATAAGAACCAGGTGTGCTTTGTTGCATTAGAGAATATTTTTGAACACACAAATCAACCGAAAGCCTGCTACTCTGGCCTCAATTGTAGTCTAATGATTGACTTAAATCTGTCAGATCATGAAGTTTCAAGCGTGATTATTAGGTTGAGTGCTATAAATTATGATGTGTAAATATACTGAAGGTACCAGCATATTCAAGATATTGTTAATAAATTTGGTAGTGCAGGTATAGAAACCCGGTGGTTTGTAAACCTTATCAGGGGGACAGCCGCCCCCTCATTCACCGAAGAGAGGAGAGGGGGGAGCTCAATGTCAACTCCATATATTAACATAATAGGGAGACGCACTAAGTCAGCCCCTACAAGGAGGGGGGGCAGTGCGACAAACTTTTGCCCATCCCCTCCTTAAGGAAAACTCTGCACACGGCTATGATAGACGTACAGTATGCTAGACGCGAATGTTCATTCGCGGGAGCGGCGCACGCACCGATGTTGATTTCTGGTGCATGCCGCTGTAGTTACTTTGGGCACTGGCATGTCAACTACTTCTAAAATAGTCTAAACAGTGGTGGGTGAAGCACTATCAATTTTTAACGTGTTATCATATCCTCTAAAACAAATAAACTCGCTCCAGTTAGGAACGTGCCGTTCTGTGCTGAACTGCACAAAACAGGCACGAAACCAAGAGGTCAAGCAACATTGTGCATCGGCATTGGACCCGTGGGCGTCAACGCGGTTGACGCGCGCAAGTGGTAGAGCGCCCTTTTCCTCCACAGGCGCGACTAGACGCTTTTGATGCGTAGGCGCGTGCATACACGTGCCAGTGGTTGGCACTTAACTGCTTGTGCCTTACCAGGTAACATGCACCCCCGGCACGACAAAGGCCAGCGCAAATCATGCATACGATACTTCAGCCAAATGCCTGAAAACATCCCAGAATCGCATACTCTTTACACGGCCATAGCCCGTACTCTCGAAGGTTACTCCTCCGTAGTGTTAGATGGTACCGAGTCCCGGCAGCACTCGGCTGCAATGCGTGGGACGCGTTCATCTCACTGCGAAATTCTTGGAGTCGATGTGGCTATACGATATGCCATCCAAGTTCTTAGTGAGGTGTACATATTGACATACTCGCAACAGGCATGTCGGGCCTCCCATTCAGGACATGGCATCCCAAGAGCGGCCCACCAAGTTCTCGATCACGCTGAGTCAAACAATACTTTCCGCATTCACTTACTCTGGACTTCTGGTCATGCCTCTCCGCCGGGCAATCAATGTGCACACGCTGTTGCCCGCGAACTTTCCCTCTGGGCGGCCCGGCAAAGCGAGGCGACCGTTTTGGAGTGGGGGTTCCTTTTATCACTTACGACAACAGTGCCCCGCCGCCATCTTTCTTGCGAGAGGAGGCAATAACATTACGGCAGCTACAGACGAACATTCCCCATTCTGGCATCTCTTCATGGAAAAGTGCTACTGGTTGCACCACCTGTGGAAAATTGCCCACGACCTTCCACGTCTCGATAGAGTGCCCTCCGAATATCTTTCCTCCTTTACCTGCTTTTCATCACCTTTTACGTAACGAGGAGGTGTGGGACGATGCTCTCCGCGATGGACCTCCCGAGGTCTTCCGAGCTATGATACAGCGGGCTCGATTTGACGCTGCAGCGTCCTAGGGACCCCAGACTAGAGGTTACTCCCACGCCCTCCTTCTCCATGCCTTTATAAATAAAGACGTTTATTCCTCTCTCCAAACAGACGCATCACTATACACCCACCTGAGTCGAAGCTGTAAGTCCAAAATATTGAAACGGACAAAATGTGGATTTTTACTCGCAACCGACGACGCCGACACCAGACTTCCGGCGATGCGAGCGGTTTAAGGCTATCACGACCGTAAACTCACGATCTGAATATTGAGCGATTATTTCACACAGTTGTGGTGCTATTCTTGACCAATCTCAGGCTTTTGAATGAGGGTCCGGATATACTGAAGAACGTTTGATATAGAAGGAAGGGTCAAATTTGAGCAAAAATTTTCGATTCGTGTCATGAAAACTGTCTTGAAAAACACAGTTTTTAATTCATGCATTGAAAAGAAAAACATGCTGTGCACGTTTTACAAACACGTCGTAGAGTAACTGGAAAGCCCGTTTCTCCAGACTAACACGACGACATCTGAGAATCACTGCTACTCGGTCACGCGCGATTATCGTTTACAGTGCAGATGTCTTGATTTGCGCCTTCAGCTTCTTTCCGGGCTCCGGCCGTTGACGCTTTCCGACGGTCCCTTAAGTTTCCGGCCCGCGATGAGACGATCCTGGAAGGCAACGCCCCCCCCCCCCCCCCGCACCAGCTCTTGGATCACCGTGGATTCTGATCACGTGTACCTTGAGGTGGTCACTCCTCCGGAATCTCAAGCCGCACGCACCACACTCGTACGGCTTTTCTCCGGTGTGCCCCCGCGTGTGGTAAATAAAAGCGGACTGGCTGGAAAATGTGGCTGGACAGAGGTTGCATTCGTAGGGTCGCTCGCCGGTATGGACTCGCGAGTGGCGCCTCAGGTGGGATTTTAGCCCGAAAGTCTTGTCGCACACGTCGCACTGCCAGGGCTTTTTCTCGGAGTGCGTAAGCTTGTGTCTGACCAACGCGCACTTCTGGGAAAACTCGGCCGGACACGAGTCGCATGGGAACGGCTTCTCGCCGGTGTGCGTCCTGTTGTGGCACGAAAGGGTCCACCATCGCGCGAACCTTCTGCCACAGTCTTCGCACTTATACGGCTTTTCGCCGCTATGCACGAGTAAGTGTTGCTTCAAGTTGTAACGATCCGTGAACTCGGCTGGGCAATGGTTGCATTTGAACGACTTTTTGCCCGTGTGTGCGCGGAGGTGCCTCCTGACGCTCGATTCCCTGGTGAACATTTTGCCGCATCTAGGACAGCTGTGACGTTTTTCTCCGGTATGAGTGAGAAAGTGCCTATAAAGGACCCCTCTTTGCGCGAAAGTTGCCGGGCAGCACTGACAGGCATACGGCTTTTTCCCGGCGTGTGTTGCCAGATGACGTTCAAGCCTCGCGTGGGTGGTTAAGGCCTTGCCGCGCACTTCGCACGTGTGGTTCCTGGCATGGGTGCGCTTCCGTTTCGGCTTCTCCTGCACCACACTTTCGCTGGCACAACCCCTGCGAGTAGAAGAAACACCTTAAGGCATGTCAGCACCGCGCTGAGGTCTGCTTTCAGTGACGTCTAGCTATTATAAAGTTCTATTAACTTTTCAAGGATGTGCACCGCTTGATGCCTCGTGTTTTTAGCTTTCTTGAACAAGACACGTTTGGCCCCGTGTATTTACACACCCTTCAACGTGACTATTTGTTTTTACGCCTGCGTTACTTTATTTTTATTTCTTATTTCTTTCCACCCATCTTTCTTCTTTCGGCGTATCCGGATCAAATATTAATAATAATAATGATGATGATGAGGAGGAGGAGGAGAATGACCTGTTACTGAACCCGCGAATAGAACCTTTTTTTTTTAATAATGCCACGGTTATCGGCGGCACAAGAACTTTCCCTTTTGTGTTGCTATTAAGCTTCAGTCCCTTATTATGATGCATATTCTCAATTGCAGTTGCAAAATCATACATCAACAGCACACAAAAGATATTCGCAGTTAATCTTTCTTTAGCAACAACCTTGGGGATAGAGAGCGAGTATTCGTATTGTTTTGAAGTTTTCTTTTCACCAGGATACGTATTATAGTAAGAAGCCTCTTGAAACGTAAGAGCTCACCTTATCTTGTCAACGTCAGAAGCTCCTCTTCCAGTGTTACTTCCATTTTCAATGCCACTTCTTTTTCCAATGTTCTTCAATCTTTGCTCCATCGAGGGCTGCGTGTACACTGGGAGAGAAAAGAGCAAGTCAAATCCCCATGCTAAGATACAGGGGCGTAGCCAGAAATTTTTTCGAGGGGAAGGATGGGAGGTGTCAATCAAAGAAAATTTATGTATCTCCGTGCGTGTGCTTGAATGTATGTCAATGTATATACGCAATCGAAATTCAATATCTTGGGCAAAAATTGTTGAACACCCCTCCCCTCTTGCTACGCTTCAGCTATGCGCGTTGGCAATAGACGTCTCCCTCTTTGTGTGTGAAGTCACTGCGGGCACCCCGCCCTCTACACCCTCTCTTGCAGCAGGTGCTGGTTGGCAAGAAAGCTCCTTCGGCGGCATCTTCAAGCGGGAGACACATGGTGCGAATTCGTATGCGATTTGCCGTACGGCTGTTCGTGCCAACAGCCGCATCCGACAGAATGCGGCGACGATTCGCACGCCGCGCGTGCATCCAACTTGCTGAATGTAGCCACACGGCAACTGCGGCGGTCTGTCGGCCACAGCCAATGGCAGCGCTGCATCGCATGACGTCAGCGTCCCACTCCATCTCCCCAGTACAAGCTGCATGGACGCCATTTTGTCTTCATTTCAACTGTGCGCACGTATATTTTTTCGCCATGAGTCAAGACGCGGCGCAAAATTATCTACTCATATCGCTAGTTCATGAGCAGCGAGTGCTTTGGGACCAGTGGCGGGCGGCCTACAAGAACATCAATGCGCGCACGGCTGCGTGGACTGCCGTCGCGACGAGCATAGGCCTAGCTGGAACACAGGGTGAGTACCATACCAGCATTTCTAGGTGTGATTGTGCCACCCAGCACGAGTTGCTACTATATCACTAGTATTTCACTAATGAACAATACGCACATTTACGAACTCTTCCGCCCCTCCTCCCCAAAAAAACGTAACCTCTACTACTGGCGCCGTATGCTCTTGTCTGCGAGTTTGTTCGCGACTGCCGCGTGTACATACAATTTTAATATTGCTGTGCTATAGCGGCGGAATGCTGCATAGATACTTTTTTGATTCTCGTGTGTTGCGCAGAGCAATGAGAAAAGCGGCAACGGCGAGGCAATGTCTATAGGATGGTATTTGCATGTGTATCTGAACGAGCACGTTTTGGAAATACCTGCGCACTAAAATAGAACACACAAAAGCATGTTTGCGCCCACCCAGTGCGTGTTTTTGCGTCACCCTAAGAGGAACATTTTTATTTATATCCCCATCAGCGGCGGCAGCTCTGTTAGCAGTTGTTTTCGCTAGTTGTCAACTTGTGGCTCACCAAGGAAGACAACTAGGCACGTTAATTCATGTTCAATAATGGTAACAATGTGTGTGCATGTGCAGGCCTTCTTGGCGTATTCATTCTCAGTGCATTTTTGCCGTTCTTAATCAACTTGTGGCCAAAAGAGTACAGCATACATGGCTCATTAGACGAATTGAACCTCCTGCATTGCCAGTACATCTTGTGTGCTGCGTAGGACTGCAGCCGATCGCTTTAGTGAAAACACAATGTTCGATGTCGTTCGACGTGGCAGCAATCCAGAACTAATATCAAGTTTTTTTTTTTCGAATTGAATGTAACCACAAACTAATTCTACAGACAGTTGTAGTCTACAACTTGAATTGTTTTTATGCCAAAATAAAACAACTCACAGCAGACGAATGAAACATTTTATTCCAAAGTAACTATGACTAATCACTGAAACTCACAATAAACACCATATTGCTTCATTTTCTTTTTTAAAATTTAATGCTGAGTGTCTTGAAATTATTCATTGTAGATTTGATTCACTTGAAAATAGTGCATCATAATTCGTGCCTAAAGGGGAAATCTGTTTATAAAAGTTTTGCCCGGTAAATTCCCTCTAAAGACATCGTTCGGTACAAAATGTGAAGTGATTGTTCTTTTTACTTGCTTGCACATGGCACTTGCTTATTAATTGCCGTATAGAAAGCTTTCTCACATTTATGCTGCAATAATTTATTTGTAGTACACAGTTACAAGCACTTAATTTGCACTATCAACCTTTCATAAATGCAAAGGTGCTTGCAAAATAAAATATACTTTAGAGGTACTCTTGAAGCACAAACTAAAGAACAGTTTCTTCGGTGCTGCTTCTAGCAGAGAATGCTATGTTATCAGTTGCTATCCGCTAACTCCCGTACTCTTGTATGTTTGCAGCTGACACAGCAGCCATTTCCAAACAATGGCGCAATCTGAGAGACACGTTTCGCAAGAAGTTGCACGAATCAAAAAAGAAGAGTGGGGCGCCTGCTGGGGAGCCAGTCAGCTCATGGAAGCACTTCACTCAAATGCTGTTCCTGCGGGACATTGTGGAGCCACGTGTGTAAGATAATCTTTTCATTTGCCCCACGAGACTTTCGAACCAGCTGACAGGTGCCATAATGCTCATGCTTTAGAGTTGGAAAACAAGGAAATCTTGGTCTACGTCACTAACCCATCACTCACATGTATTAACTGTGTGCTTAGTATGATAGAAATTAAAGTAGCTCATAGCAGATTCTCATGCCCTATTATTGGCTAGTATACTCTCTGTACGTGTAAAGTAACACATACATAATTAGCACTATTTTCTGCAAATTTCTTTGCTTTACTTTTAAAATGAAACAAACTACCATCACAACATTGAAGACATTCCAGTGAATTATACAGCAGATACTAAAGTGAAACTAAAAATAAAGGCTGCAGATCACAGTGAAGGTGTGCTGCAAGAGACTCCGCAATACGTCGACATTGTAATTATCAGCCAATACACACCTCACATCGATAGGCCTTACGTATATGCATACACAAACAAATGTGGACTGAGCCACTCTGAGCTTCTAACATGGCGGTATGCACAAGATGGCTGAGAGATGGCAGCGATTTCACATAATATCTATACAACCATAGCAATAAATGCTGAACTGTGAGAATAGGTGAAAGTGCATTAACGCATTACAATAACTACATTCAAATTAAAGTTGAAAAAGACCGATAATTAATAATAAGAAGTTAATACAATTTTATTTTCAAGTGCACAGGTTAGACATCAGATTCAGCACAGTAAAGTATCACGATGAAAGAGCGGTGAATGTCAAAGGTGTCTTAATTTGTGAACTCGTGGTAGTAGTAAACTAGTGATGCAAAATGAGTATGGTTAGTGTTTAGTAACAGACTGTGATTGCAGATAGCAGGAATTCACACCAATCGGTAAACTTATAATCTTAGCTGTCACTGCCAACTCATGCACATTGTTGTAGCTACAATAAAGCAGTGTGTGCCAGTGACACTACCCCACAAACCAGTGCGTCATCATCACTGCCTCAAGATACAGTAGACTCTCAGTAAATGGAAATCTGTTGAATGGAACTATTGCATCTGCGATACTTGGTTTCGAGCTTGTATTCGGAACCCATGGTCACCTCTCAGTAAACAGAATTACTGTTTATTGCAGCATATTTTCTCGGTTCTTGCAGGTTCTTATTAGTGAGAGCCCACTGTATCTCAAAACCACGGTTGACCTGTAAGTTTGTGTGTCTCCAAAGTGTGATAAGAAAAATAAATGTACCATGCAGCCATTGGCTGCAACAACACCGTAAACGGGTACCTTAATATGTATTGTAATGCTAAAGCAATCGTGATTTACGATACTCTATGCCCTCTTGTAGGACCACCAGCAACATGGACACAATGGACGATGACCCCATGGCAGAGATTCTGGGCCAAGAGCAAGCCAGTTTTTGTGGCGAATCGCCAACACAAATGCTTTTAGGTATGGTCGACGACACACAGACACCTCAAGCGTCACAGACATGTTCATTGCATTCACTTCCTTCAAAAGATACTAATATTTCTGCACTTTGACAACAAAACACATACCCTTTTTCAAATGTCACATGCAACACTCGACGAAAAAAAAGGACAATGGAGACGCAGCCCTAGAGGAAATAGATAAACAACTACAAACATCTATTACAGGCACACAGCACTTTCTTCTTTTTCTAGCGACACATATGGACAATATTCCACCCCATTTTTTAGGGTTGTGTAAAATACACATGATGGACATTGTGAATCATTATAAGGCTGAGGTTGTGCCTAAAGAGTTGATCTCCTTACAGCCACTACAGCCAACAGAATAAAAAACTGTCTGCAGTAACAATAAGTGGCATTTGTAAATAAATTTCATGAATGTATGTTTTGAAGCTCATTGATTTTTTTCTTGTAAGCCAGGCACTCCTTGTCTGTCAACTCAACGGCAGGTGCCGATAGTCCCTATCCTAGCAACTTTCATGCTGCATCTTCTGGAACGCATGCCTAAAATGACATACGAAAGCATTTGGTCTTGCTCAGCTACTAATGCATTGTAATAAGATCAGCGAGTTCAACTTTCCCGAGTGTTGTTTAATGTCGTCGTACCCTCCATTCACCAGAATAATTTTACAGTGGGTGCCCCTTTCGGTTTCAAGCACATCGCAAAATGCTCTTGGCATTCTCTCAAACATGAGGACTATTGAATGCTGTATGGATGCAGCATTTTACAATGCTTGGTTGTAAAAAAAAAAAAAACTAGGTTATGCAGGAAGGTTGGACGCTAGGAGTCGCAGAGTGCGGACGCACGTTGTGTAGGCTCCGCAGTTTTCAAATGATTTTTGTTAAAAAATTGCAAAACTTGGCTAAAGTCTCTACGCCAATCGACGGAGGAAGTTCAGCCGAACACCTGGATACCAACTATTGCAAGGTGGGCCCGCTTTTTCGGCACTGACACCGATAATTCTGAGTCGCCACGAAGATCAAACATTGCGTCTGCCGCCGCAGCGGCGGGGAGAGCTAGGTCCAACGCGTCGACGAGGACGCCTGGGGCGACCCCGGAACGCCTCGACGGCGCGTCTAGCACCACGATGGAGGTTGTAAGCGTGGAAGGAGAAGATATGCAACCGGAGACCGGAGGACTTTACCAACAACGCCGGATGGTGCGAAGTCCGCAGAAGAAACATCACG